CATTTTGGTAATAATCCAACTATCTAAATGTCTTCAACAACATAATGGTTTAAAAGAGGCCCACAGAATAACGAAGAGAAAGGGACATGAATTCATAGGATATCAAAAGCGTCTAGCAATAATTTTATTCCATAGTTGTAAGAGTGTGTCCAACCTAGAGCAATATAAGATCTCCAAAAGCAAAATTGATGTCAATTAAGATGCATTACAAGAAACTCAGGCAACTAATCAATTACATTGTACTAAAGGGAGACCCTATAACAATAAGAGTTCTAGAAGAGTGACATCGTGTATGTAGTGATGGAATACCTAAAACCCTAGAGGGGGTCACCTCTTGTGCTACAAGTTCCATCAATGGCTTCCCCTGGCAAAACATAACTTAAATCAACTCAAAAGTAAAGAAATTACATGAACACAGGCAAAACCTAGCTTAACCCCTTCATACGTGCTCCTTCCAAAAATAACAAGTATCCAATGACCTCTCGAACTGCAAATAATAAATCTTTTCAAAATGAGTTTCTTGACTCTGTTTCCAATGAATAGGTGATAAATGACATCCAAAATCCAAAAAATTAAACAGAGTCAACGTATTGATTAACTATAATGAACAAAAGATATCAAAGACGGCATAATTCAAAGATAATCTCTGAAAAAATTGATATAACAAGTAAAAGGATATCAAGATTTCTCTTGCGACTTTCAAAAAGTCAAACACAAGGAGGTTTTTGAAGTAGAAACTTACCCATCATCACTTCGACATAGGCATAGAGCGAGAAGTAGTTTATCATGTCATCGTTAAAATGCCAAACAATTTGGGAACTTAGGGTTTACTTCCCCACCGACGAGTTTTTTACATAAACATAGTTATCGAAAATTTTATTTACCAAGTAAAGGTAGTTTCAACTTTATTTACCAACTAATTGTATTTTTAATTAAAAAAAAAAACAAAAAAAAAAACCTAGTAGCCTCCGTTTCCTTCACACGATTTTCTCTCACGCGTTCCCTCCTTCTTCGTTGTACTCGTCTTCACTGTGCTTCTATCGCAAGAACCGCCTACGGCTCTTCTTCCACCGTTGGAATACCCTACAACCGCCCTAAGTCTGCCGGTCCTAGGTAAGTCCTTCTAATCGGCTTCTGTTGGTTAATGCTTTATTGCATAATATGTGTGTTTTCCTTATTGTTATAGGTTTCTTGTATATCTTTTACTCCACTGTAATGTATGTTAATGGTTCTTTCATCACTTCAAACATGTTGCTACTGTACGTGAGTTTCATTGCTTTTGTATTTAGTTTTTTTACTATATAATATCTTTAAGATCTTGCAAAAGTAACTTATGTGATTCTTATAATACCTGTTCTTTTTTAGGGTAGTAAGTTTTGTAATCGATGCATGTGTTTTATATATTAATATAATGTTAAAAATTTGTGACGGAGAAGAAGGTATAACTTACAACAAGTCTCCGAATAAAGCTCTCAAGGTTCAATGCGGAATACAGTTCAATGAACTCATCGATCAAATCCATATTGCTACGTCGATTGATAAGCAACAAAAGCGCATTAAAGTAATTTGCAGATATCCATCGGTTGTTGGAAAAGTAATGAAATATATTCCTCTCTCAATTACGGATGACAATGTCATTGAGATCATGTTTGATGCGTTTAGTCTCCATCAAGAACTAAGTAATATTGATCTATACTTAGAAGTTGAAGTCAATGGCATTAACTTATGTGATTCGTATAATACCTGTTCTTTTTTAGGGTAGTAAGTTTTGTAATCGATGCATGTGTTTTATATATTAATATGATGTTAAATCCTTTGAAATAAATACTTTTGTTTTTATAGATTTTCATTGCCATGACATCAAAATTTATTACATTATTATGTTATTGGGATGGAAAAATTTGTGATGGAGAAGAAGGTATAACTTACAACAAGTCTCCGAATAAAGCTATCAAGGTTCAATGCGGAATAAAGTTCAATGAACTCATCGATCAAATCCATATTGCTACGTCGATTGATAAGCAACAAAAGCGCATTAAAGTAATTTGCAGATATCCATCGGTTGTTGGAAAACTAATGAAATATATTCCTCTCTCAATTACGGATGACAATGTCATTGAGATCATGTTTGATGTGTTTAGTCTCCATCAAGAACTAAGTAATATTGATCTATACTTAGAAGTTGAAGTCAATGGCATTAAAAATCACACAGAGACAGTATTGGAAACTAATTTTCTATATTGATTTTCAAAGTATTGATAAAAATCTTCTATATTAATTTTCAAAGTGTTGATAAGTGTGATAGTAAAATTAAAAGTCTACTCAAATTGGCCAACATTACTATAGTCTAGGGGCCAATTGTAAATAAAGAAAAAATGGCTTTACACCACATTTAGACAGTACCAACGTAAAGTTTTTGAGTTATTTATTTTTTGTTATCTCACTGTTTCTATACATTCATACACAAAAATAAGGAATAGATATCGATCATCTTTGTTCCATCTCTAAACTTGATATCTTCATAATTAATTTTCATTACTTCCACGACAATGCTAAGTTTTACTTTTATTTTTGTTGATTTTTTTTATATTAACTACAGATGTCGCGAAACTTTTTCGAAAGAACAAGAAAGGGACACAACTTTATCACCGACTACGATTCATACTAATGGCGTGTCAGACATGATTCAAAATGAGGACTTTCGACATGATTTCTCAGTTTGCCGTTGTGAACAATGGAATGGATAGTGGATTTGACATGGACAATGAAGAAGATGAAATTGGTCAGGAAAATTTATATGATAATGAAAATGATAATGAAGGAGATGCAAATGTAAAGGGAGATGGCATTACCAACTAGTTTTACAAGTTTAGAAGGAATAGATGTGGCTAATGTTGACAATTGGATGATGTCACAATCTGAGAATACAAATGATTTAATTCAAGAGTTAAGAGAAAACTCTTTTAAAAGTAAGGAAGAACTTATCAGAGCCATCAAGCTTTACACGATTAAAAAGCATCGACAATATGAGTTTATCGAAACATGTCCAGCTATATGGAAGATAAGATGCAAGTTATGTTCACAAACCGGTTGTAAGTGGCAATTGTGTGCATGTAAACGCCAACGTAGTGGGTATTTTGAGATAACACGATACACAGGTCCACATACTTGTTTTCAAAATAGGATTACTCAAGACCACCCAAATCTAGATGCAAGCTTGATAGCTCAAGAAACAGAGCACCTTATTAAGGAACAACCATCTATTAGTGTCCCTACTTTGAGAGCCGAAATAATTGATAAATTAGGATACACTCCTTCATACATGTAGGTTTGGTTAGGAAAGCAGAAGGCGATTGAACGAGTATATGGAAATTGGGAGGAATCTTATATTATTTTACCAAAATTTCTTACTGCACTCCAATTTTTTAATCCTGGAACAATAGTTGAATGGTGCACTACGAGATCAATTGATGCGGATCAAATGGAGTTCAGACGTGTTTTTTGGCCTTTTTCTCCATCTATCAATGGATTTAAGCATTGTCGACCTGTTATTAGCATTGACGCGACACATTTATATGGCAAGTACAAGGGAAAGATGATGATTGCAATGGGAGTTGATGGTAACAATCAAAATTTTCCTTTAGCATTTGCTATTGTTGAGAATGAGTCATATAGTAGTTGGCATTGATTTCTTAATCAATTCAAGAAGAATGTGGTAAAAGAACAAGAGGGCATTTTGTTTAATATCTGATCGTCATAGTGGAATACTAAAGGTTGTTAATGAGCGAGGATCTCCCTGGTTGGAGCCATATAGTTTTCACAGGTATTATTTATTTTATTTCATTAACCACTTTTATTTTTACAGGTATTGTTTGCGACATTTCGTCAACAACTTCCATGACAAGTTTCGTAACTCACAATTGAAAGTTTTAGCTTACCGTGCTGGGAGTCAGAACCAAGTTCGTAAGTTCAATTCCATTATGGAAGAAATTGGAAAACTAAGGGGCTGTTTGGCAAGATCTTAATTTTTAAGAGGTCTGAATTGCAAAGAGGGTCTGAATTTTTAAGATCTGAATTTTAAAATGTTGATTGGTTGGAACCTCTGAATTATTGTGTTGAACAATAAAAATGACTATTTTACCCTTATGTATCATTTCTTTTAATTACAACATTATACTTCTTATTAAAACATCGTACTTTAAAAACTATGACCAATTATTCTAATTAGGTAGAAATAGGAAGTACAATGCTATGACAGCTAAATAGAGGACAAATATACTGATAAAAATCCATGAATCGTACGTATATAAACAATTTCAAAATCAAAACACTTTACATTTTAAATTCCTCTTTATATATATAAACAATTCCACATAAATTGTAATCATCTCTAACCTAATTGTAATCAAGATTACAATGTTTACAACTTTGAAAAACATACATATTAAACACCATGAATCTTGATATGCTCTTTCTTCACTTTTTCCAGTCTCTTTTACAAAGTGAAGACTAATAATAAATAATTAGAAACACAAAATCAATAAGCTTTAAACTATTAATAGCATTGAATTATGGCAGCCCCAACACAACAAAAATTGCAATCAACAATGAGAAGAACAAGAGCTAATTGCAAACTGAACACAACTCAAAAAACAATAACAGTTCATAAAACTACAATTCATATCTGAAACATAAGCACCACATTTGATTCAGTGTTTCTTTCTTAACTGCAACCAAATTCGCGATCTAACAGAATAAAAAAAGTGGAAGCTACACATACATTAAATTAAATAATCACATAAAGCATGAGATGGTGAACTGCATCAACAAATCAGCAAGATAGCAGCAAAAAACATCAGAAAAATCATGATTTTCCGAAGAACAAAACAGCAAAAACCAATATTTGAAACAATACAAAGCATCATTACCGATTTCAGCAAAAACCAAGAGAAAAGAAATGAAGAAATAGCGATTTTATGAAGAACGAAAAACATACATGCTTATGCGATTAGGGCAAAAACGAAGAAAATGATCGCGCCGGAGTGAACGTGGGAGGGTGGCATACAACAAAAGCACACAACAATCAAAGCAATTAGAGGAAGGTCTCCATTGTTGCCAGCCTCGAACAGGGACAGTTGCGCAAGGTGAAGATTAGGGGACGGCGACACTGAAGGAAGGATAGAGAACAGAGGCGGTGGCGAAGGGAGGTGTCGGAGGTGGTGTTGATGCTGGAAGGAAGTCGGAGCCTCAGAGGGTGTTTTTGTGTCTTGTGTGCGATGGATGGGAGCCTGTTTATGCGATTAGAGCAAAATGGGAAGCAACCCTTTTTTCTTCTTTCAGATGCGATAACATGTCTGACCGAATAAGATATAAATTTCATATTCAGATATAAAATTAATAGCTAAACAAACACTCTTAATGGAAAAGATTCAGATATGCCTCTTATTAAGAGGCAATAAGAGGCAAACAAACAGCCCCTAAATGCACAAGCTCGCCAATGGCTTGAGGGGCACTCACTTTGTAGATGGACACTTGCACATGATTGTGGAAAGCGTTATGGATTGCTCACCACAAATATGTCAGAGATTTTCAACAGTGTACTTAAAGGTGCTCGTTTTTTACCAATCACTTCATGTGTCCAACTTACATTCTATAGATTGGTTTACTACTTTGATGTCAGACGTCTTTTAGGATCAACTGCTCAAGCTAAAGGAGATATGTTTACACCCGATGTGCTTGTAAAACAAGTAGCATCAATGTCAAAAGCTACTGCACACAACTTGAAATCATTTAACTGAGCAAAAGGAATTTTAGAGGTGGTTACCCAGAAAGGAAAAAATGTGTAAGTTGTTGATTTTGAGAAAAAAATGTTCATGTAACAGAGTCTTTTTAATGCTTTGATATTTTCTAAAACCCTTAAGGTCATCAGTTCGAAGACGCAAAGACATCTCCTCACATTTATTCTGAAAAAAGAAAGAAAAAAAATCATAAGATAAAATAGTATGAAACTGATTTCCCACACGCCATTTATGCTTTTTTTAATAAACAAAAAGAGACCACAATAAGATATAAGATTATTGATTATAAAATATATTTATAAAACTATACAATACCTTATTCATGACAGCTGCAATTCCTCGATCTGCAGCAAGTGTGTGTGATGCGACATCGACCTCCGACGTGTCTTCCGGTCTTCTGTTGCGGCGGAGATCTGGACATCACAATCAGAGAGATGCGTTAGAGCCGTCCCAGAGATTGTGCCCCGGGAGCGGACTCCGACGATCAAGTTAGATCAGCTGATAGATCTGAGACAGTCCTCCATAGCTGGAGAGAACCATCTTGGTGCTGGTGGTGGTGTATGGTGGCTGACGGCGGCGGGTGGCGGCTGATCCACCCGGCCGGAGTATAGTGGCGGCTGTGCCATGGGGAAGAGTCCTAGGGAAAGGTCCTAGGGAAAAGGTCTAGGAGAGGTTCCAGAAAGGTCCTCCTTCATGGAGGAGACACTATTCTATTTATAGTGGACAATTAGGTCAAGGGGAATTAGGGCAGGCCTTGGGCCAGCCCAATTCAGGCCCAACTAGCAAGGAGCTGGGCAAGGCTGGCGGGCGCGCACCAGGAAAGACTGGCAAGGGAGCGCCAGGCCGGGCCGACGGGAGAGTCCCCAGCAAGGCTGGCAAGGGAGTCCCAGCAAGGCTGGCAGGAGCGTGTCAGGCCAGGCTGGCGCACTGGAGCAGACTAGGCCATGCTAATGGACCATATATCATCAAGTCCCCCCCAGTCTGGTGTTACTGGTACGCGGCCAATGACATCGGACTGGACTTAGTCATATAAATTGTGCGTCGTCAAGTCCCCCTAGTCTGATGTGATTGGGTTGCTGACAATCGAATCGGACTAGATAAAGCACCAATACATTAAATAATAGAGAAAACGACCGAATCTCGCCCACGAGAGCCGTGGGGTTGTGTGATGAGCCAAACATTGCTTATACAGCTTGAGATGGCTTGGTACTCCTTCATTGAGAGGAGTGTGATCCGTCGGTGGGATGCGGCATAACTGTTGCTGGCAATGTTATGCGCAGCGGGGCTGCTAAAGAGTGTTACGCGACACTGATGTCGATAAAATGTCGGACCGGGGTAGCTAAGAAGCGTAACCTCGCCATACAGTCTCTAAGACCGTTATCCGATGCAGTTGTTGTTATTAGTCTATATGGAATGTCGTCGATGACCACCTACACAGTCTACATTAATAACCGTCTTGAAGGTGTCTCCAAGATACGCTATACCTAATTGGATTCCCCCCAGTCTGATGTGGGTAGTGTAGGTAGCCGGATCAGACTATTACAAATAAGGCAAGGTTGCTATGTCAATTCGCGATGAAGTGGCAAAACTCTTTGTACGAGATGGATGTTGTCAAACCGATGAGCCGTAAGGTCGTTGACTATGTAACAAGTGGTAGAGGTTACAGGCGTTGGGCGATTAGGTTGGTAGCGGGGATCACGCGACGAGACTATTGCCAATAGCCAGACAATAGAATCGTTGCGAGATAAGCAGTGAGGCTATAGGTTAAGGTTGCATAGCGAGACCATTGTCGGGAGCCAGACAACAGAGATGTTGAGGGATGCGCGACGAAGCTACAGGAAAGGGTTACGCAGCAAGGCCGTTTCCGAGAGCCAGGAAACAGAGATGCTGAAAAGGTAGTAGGTAGCAGGGCCGCTGTCGAGATAACCTTCTTGTTGGAGAGTAACCTTACTATAACAGGATGTAGTGTGGATAACACTTCGTTGACCGTCCGAGCACAAGAGAACCCTGATGATTGTGAGAGAAAAAACACCAAGAGCACAGTGTCAGGCGCAAGATAACCTTGAGGTATGTGTCTTATGGTGCGCGACGATGCGCGACTTATGTTTCACGACTTTGAAGAAAAGCTTAGGCTTAGCAGTTAATGATCATGGAGATGTCACGCGGGAGAGCATTGCGTGGAATAGATCAGGCTTAACTGCCAGCGATCTTAGATGCATCACGTGGGAGAGCATCACGTGGAATCATATAGGCAAAGGTTGTGAGCCTTTGAGCCTTGTTGGCGGAGCACGCCGCTGGAGTCGAGCTAAGAAGCTAGGCGACTCAAGGCAAGGGTGCTTAACCTCACATGTGGAGCTTGCCACTATAGTGGAGTCGGGCTGAGAAGCCAAGCGACTCAAGGCGAAGGTACTAAACCTCGTATGCGGAGCTTGCCGCTATGATGGAGTCGGGCTGAGAAGCCAAGCGACTCAAGGCGAAGGTACTAGACCTCGCATGTGGAGCTTGCCACTATAGTGGAGTCGGGCTGAGAAGCCAAGCGACTCAAGGCGAAGGTACTAAACCTCGCATGCGGTGCTTGCCGCTATAGTGGAGTCGGGCTGAGAAGCCAAGCGACTCAAGGCGAAGGTACTAAACCTCGCATGCGGTGCTTGCCGCTATGATGGAGTCGGGCTAAGAAGCCAAGCGACTCAAGGAGAAGGTACTAAACCTCGCATGCGGTGCTTGCCGCTATGATGGAGTCGGGCTAAGAAGCCCGGTGACTCGAGGCGAGGGTACTGAACCTCGCACGATTGGGCGTAACACCCTACAATCTGTGTCTAGCTCGTGTGATCAGTCTAGGTTAAAGTGAAATGGTACCTGATGCTTTGTTGCATCGCTAGTAGTAGTGATGACTGATGCCTCAGTGTCTTGTCTGTTTGCGGTGAGCTATGTGGCGGTGCTACTTAGAGCTTGATAGTGCAGCTGCTGTTAGGAGGTGCGTAGCGAAACTGCTGTCAGGAACTGGTCAGCAGGGCCGCTGAGGCCCGGGCAGCAAGCTGCTGGCGATAGGTGAGTAACGTGACTATTGGGAGTTAGGTAACAAGACTACCGAGAGTTGGACCACGAGGCTACTCTTTCAATCCGAAATACCAATGTCACCTCGGGGATGCACCATCATGCATAGTGTCAGTTCTTCATGTATACATCTTCCCCTTGGGAATAGAAATCACTTCTTCATAGAGACGTAGCAACCCCACTCCCCCCTCTCCCTCTTTCTTAGAGGAGGCGAGGAATGAAAACGATGGATGCATAGTTGCATGAAATTGGGCGAGACAGCTACTGAGGAAAGCTAAGCGACCCAAGTACTAACAAAAACTGGGTAGCACGACTGCTGGGAGTCAGACAGCGTAACTGCTGATGAGTAGGCTTTGCATCTGCTGAGCTGGGTCGCATGGCCGGTGAGGGTCGGGCTACACGACTGCTGAGGTCCAGGCAGTGCGGATGTTGAGAGCTGAGCAACGATACTTCCTGAAGTTGGTCAACATAGCTGCTGATAGCCGAGCAACACAATTGTTGAGGGTTATTTCATAACGCTTCACGAGTAGTAGTAGTGTACTACTCTGCCCCTTCCCTTTTTTTTTTTTTGAAAATATCGAGCATATTCTGAAACGTATTTTCTAAGCAGGGCTTGCGGCACATGAGCGCTAAATGGTTGATTTTTGTCTTGTAAAACTGGGCCATCTTTGTATTGCGGAATTAGCCCATTAAATAGCAATATATGAAGCCCAAATTGCTACAGCCCCAAAATCGCTATTATTTTTGTTAGAGCCCGCGAATGATTAGCCCAAATTCATATTCTCTTATTATTATATATTTTTTCTTTTCTTTTGAACACATCAACAAGGCAGGTCGCAGTGTATCTTCTAAAGTCAGGTTTTGTCCCGGGATTCTGATGAGTGAACCTTGAGTGGCTGTTTTAAATTTAGCTAAACAAATAGCCTGTTTTAATTAATGTTGATGTAGCTCAGTGTAATGTAGAAGCCCATATAAAGAGCCCACTTGCACCATAAGCCCAATTTCTTTTTCCCTTTTCTTTTATGGATCGTGTACCAGGTCATGGACTACTCGCCTTTCATCTGCTTTGAGTCCCCTTCCAGGTATCCCACGATTCCACGAAGTCAAAAGAGGGAAACACCGAAGATCATTATTGACTGTAGCGAAATCGTCGGCGACTTAGGGCTGTTAGAAGGATATCGGTGTTGCCCGCAGCGATTGCTCTGTTCTGGTGGGTATTGTCAATGAAGTTGTTGTTTGCAGTGGTTTGGCGTTAACTAGTGGTGACCGGCCGACGATTGGAGCTGTTGTCGCTGGGGTGCGCTGGTCTGAAGGTCACGATGGGCGATTGCTTGCACAGGTTTGGGTTTTACATGGATCGCCGCCTGCTAGAAATGATCGACAATGGTCGGGGGAGGTGCTCGCTTTTGGGGCCATCCCACCGGAGGCGTTGCCAAGTCGGGGTCGACCAGCGATGGCGATTGTCGATGATTGGTGTCATTGCTGTTCGGAGGTCGTATGCTTGTTGACGGCCGGCTGAAGGTCTAGCGATTCCCAGTAGGGTTGATTTGGTTGACTGCTTCCGAAAGAGTCATGGACCAGGTGGGGTTGAATATGGTAGTGGCCGGCAGTGATGAGGCGATGCCTCAGTCGCTGTCGCTTGTATTTTGTCCACCGAGGAAGGGAGTCGGAACAGCAATCCCGATTTCCAGCGGTGGTGCTTCGGTTCCAGCCGACCACAGCGATCCAGGAATAGGGGCCGAAGTGGCAGCTAGCGCCCAGTGATCAAGCAGGAATACGAAGGTTACGATCGGTGTTGGAATTCGTCACCGGAGATTGCAACTAGGTTCCACTCACCGGAGTCTGAAGTACCCGGTGGTGACCGTGGCGTGCTAGCTTCTGTTTCTGGTGGTCCACGAGTGGTTTGTTGGTTGTGTCTTGCTGGGATCGATGGTAGCTGCTGGGTCACTTGTTGCAGGTTTTGGTGAGAGCTGTTGGAGACGACCGGTGATGATCGGGGTCCGATTACCGGTGAATTGATTTGGGAGTGCTGCTGGTTGACTGGAAGGGATGAGTCGGATGACTCCAAGAACAGTTGTTCACAATAGACAGACAAAGTATGAGCTGTAAAGGTTTTTCTCTTTGTGTACACACTAGCTTTTGTCTGCATCTTTTTTTTTTTTTTGAAACGTACAATCACTGTAATTCTCACTCTAACTGGGTTTAGGGTAAATATATTTTTGAGGATAGATAATTTTGGTGAGAGGAATAAACGGGTTTTGTTGTTGTGAATATGAGTTGTTTGCTTTTGTATCTATCTTTTTTTACAGATCAGTTCTCCTTGTTTCTTGTAGAACTCCTTTCTACTCCTTTTTTTTTTTGAAAACCATTAACTAAAATGGTAAAACCATAGGGCAAAAGTAACTTTACCAACTTTTGAAAATATTTAAGGATTACAGCACAATGAAAAATGAGTTTTCTGGAATTGAGAAGATAAAAAATTAATTGAAACTTATTTCTTCTTTCAAATTTGCAAACAACTTGAATAATACTTGAGAATCCTAAACCAAATAGGATTTTCTGAAAAATATATGAACTGAAAGTGGGTTAAGACCCATCAGAGCTTCTCATCCTTTCTATTTTTCTTTATGAGGGTTTTGTAAAATGTACAAGCCATATGGCTGAATGTACAAATAAATGTTTCAGAAATTGAAGTTCTATATATAAATAAAAAATCGTTCTTCTTTTTTTTTAAACATATACACTAAAAATGAAGTAGAAACTTCTCTTCTTCTCATATTTCTTAGAAAAAACACCAAAATAAAAACAAAAATGGGTTAAGAACTAATGAGAAATTCCTTCTTCACTACTTGCTGAAGAACCCATCAAAATATAGAGGAAAATTAGATCTTATGAAGTCTTTTAAAACATGAGTGTTGCTCAAATGATCTAAAACGAAACATATCTAGATATCTTAGCAAGAAACTCAACAGATCTGAAGATCTGAACGGGAAAAACTCAACAGATCAAAAGATCTGAACGAAAAGCTCATAAAAATTTATTTTCTCTTCATCCTACTCAACAAAACCCCCAAATATGAACCGAAAACAAATCTAAGAAGATTTGTGCACACTTGGGGAGTGTTTGAGTGAAGGAAATCATATAGATCCATAGATCTGAACTAAAAAACATGATGGATCTACAGATTTAAAAGATGGTGAAGCAAATTTGATCAGATCTTGTCAAGTAACACACAGATATGAACAAATGATACTAGAAATTAACAGATCTGAGGAAACCTGAGATGAAAACACATCAGATCTGAGGAAGAACGAGCTTGAAACTGACTGAGGCTTTTGCTACTTGCTCGAATTCGGGATGACGCCAAATGATGCGACATCGACCTCCGGCGTGTCTTCCGGTCTTCTGCTGCGGCGGATATCTGGAGATCACAATCAGAGAGATGCGTTAGAGCCGTCCCAGGGACTGTGCCCCGGGAGCGAACTCCGACGATCAAGTTATATCAACTGATAGATCTGAGACGGTCCTCCATAGCTGGAGAGAACCATCTTGGTGTTGGTGGTGGTGTATGGTGGCTGAGGGCGGCGGGTGGCGGCTGAGCCACCCGGTCCGAGTATAGTGGCGGCTGAGCCATGGGGAAGAGTCCTAGTGAAAGGTCCTAGGGAAAAGGTCTAGGAGAGGTTCCAGAAAGATCCTCCTTCATGGAGGAGACACTATTCTATTTATAGTGGACAATTAGGTCAATGGGAATTAGGGCAGGCCTTGGGCCGGCCCAATTCAGGCCCAACTAGCAAGGAGTTGGGCAAGGCCGCCCGGAGGCGCCGGGCGGGGCTAGCGGGCGCGCCCCAGGCAAGGCTGGCGGGCGCGCACCAGGAAAGACCGACAAGGGAGCGTCAGGCCGGGCCGGCGGGAGAGTCCCCAGCAAGGGAGCGCTAGGCCGGGCCGACGGGAGAGTCCCATCAAGGCTGGCAAGGGAGTCCCCAGCAAGGCTGGCAGGAGCGCGTCAGGCCAGGCTGGCGCACTGGAGCAGTCTAGGTCATGCTAATGGACCATATATCATCAGTGTGCATTAGTCTTGGTGCTTCTAAAAAGGTGGAGGATTTAACTATAAAACACATAGAAATTATATAATCATGTCAATTTTCATTAAAACTAAATGAAAGTATATAATTACCTAATAAGAAATAACTTGCAAGTAAACTTTATATTTTATCTTAATAACCATAGACAATTTTAATTTTAAATTATTCAAAAGTACCTATTCTTACCGTTAGAATGTCATGCCTCTAGTTATAAAACAAAGTCAATGAAGACTCTGTTTGATTGGCTTTTATGATTAAAACAAAGCCAATGAAGATGATTATGGGAACAGGAAAGCCAAAATATGTATAATCATGGAGGGAATTAGCATTTTAAACAATCACCTCTTTCATAAACAACCAAATGTAAATGAAAATTTGCCAAATAAACAGTTCAGTAAGGTTGACATAAAAGAACTAAAGAATACTACAATTGGTAAAGTGTTTTTTTTCAACTTTCACAAGTAAATTGGTTGTTTAAGACTAAGGATCGAATTGATGATTACTTATAATCATAGATAACGAAAGCTACCAATATAAACAACAATAAATTAAAACCCTAGAAAATTAGGATCAAAGGATCGAAACTACATAAATCAATATATTGAATTGATATCATTGATCTAGAATAACTGCTTTAATCACGAAATTTTGCATCAATCATCAAAATTCCTAGGAGATTTCACTTAAACAACACTCGTGTAATCAAGTCCATTACATGGAACACATTGAACGAATCAATCAACTAACCCAAAGGCCGATCATGATGCAAACAACGTGAAAGAAAGGGGAGGCGGAAGCAACGGGAGGCCGAAGGAGGAAGCTTCCTCGGTGTCGTCAACAGGAGAACAGAGGCGGAGGTTTGTCGATCAGTTCCTTCGCGAAGCATTGCAAAATCCTAGGGAGCGCCTTTCAGGTTTGTCTTTTTTTTGACGTTTATATGGTGGTCTTTACGCAGGCAATTTTATCATCTGTCATATGTAATCGTTATTAAAAAGGTTGACGTGGAATTGATTTTGCAATCTATTAGTGAGCCTTATTAGAAAATGGATAGTTCTATACTTGATTTCAAATTGAGCCGTTTTAGATCTCGGTTTTAACTGTATTACATTTCAAGCTAATAACATTAGTAAGTCCCCGTATTCAATTCCAATTCTTACCGTATTAGCCATATTATATGCCATTAACATTAGCCATTTATATTACGGATTTTTATTACAACCGCATTAGATGTGGTGTACTACATTTGCTATTTTCCAGTAGTGATTGTTCGCTTGGAGCATTAATGAACGATCAAGAGGACATGTTAAATCGGTGGTTACATGAGTTGCTTATGTTGATAAAGTTTGCGTTATGCTAAATTATGTGATGTAGTCTTGGCAAGATCTACCACATCGGGTATGTCTATCTAAAAATGGTGGTGGCTCAAACACGATCACCCACCATTACAGTTTACACCAAGTTTGACGGCTTCGGTGATGACATCATCTACATTTAACTTCATTTACACTATTTTCTCTGCCAACAATACCAAATCCAGCAACCGTGACTCTCATGTTGTGGTGTTTATGGTGTACTTGGCTTCGATTCTGATGACTACTATAATTGTAGTTAACCCGGAGGTGCTGCCAATAACTAGAATGGTGAACCACTTGGTCCTACTAGGCTTAAGTCCCACAATAATCAAAATAATGATAGTGAACTAGCAGGTGGGTCACTTAGGGTTTTCGTTCTAACCCAATGAGATTTTAGAACATATAGGATTGCAGGAAAATGCGACTTGCGATTGGTTCAATTTGGGTGAGAAATGTATCATAACTAAGCAAGAATAACAAGGTAGAAGATAGGACAGCAATAGAAGAAAGGAGGGCGGCGGAAGGGGATATCATCATTCACGGGAAGGTATGAGGGAAGAAGGCTTAAGAAACGGAGCCAAGTGCATAATTAATTTCATTTTAAATAAAAAGTACAATTATTCTTTAAATAAATTATAAAGTACACTAACTTGGTAAATATTTTTCTAAACTACAATTATATAGGCAAAAACCCGCTTTCCAAGGAGGGAGTGAAACATAAAATTAGTATAATGGAGGAGTATAGTTCTTAAACTCTTAGTTAATTAATTCATTCTTATGTGCATTGATTTTAATATTGGTCTATCCTCATGGAAAAACCTAACTTATAGAAAATCAAAATTAACCACTATCCAATCAATCATCTTTTGAACACATGTACTACACCTTCACAAAATCGGTTTGCTGATTTGTATATGATAATTGACAATGAAATTCCAAAAACAAAGTTTATGTATTTAATTGGAATAAACGAAGGAGGCCATAAACTATAGAATTCAAACAAAACCTATTAAATAAATTGATATAACATTGAAAAGGATACGACTTTCAAAGAATTAAATAAATGGAGGTGTATGAAGTAGAAACTTACTCATCACTTGAAGAGAGAGACGAAGTAGTTTATCTCTCCATGTTAAACAGAACAACAACAACAACAAAGCAACAAAACCTGGAATGTTATAAGGTAAAGGGGAAGTAGATGTAGGCATATTAACAAGAAGATAACGATATAGAGAGAGCACTTAGCAACTATAGTAAACGTGCAAAGGCCATGGCCATAGTCTGGATTTTTGGAACGAGTTGAGAACCCACGGTCCATATCGGTCTTGCTTGAAACTAAAAAAATTCAGACCCAAACCCACCCTAGTCCAGTCTGAAAAAGCCCAACATACTACTCTTTTGTGCACCTCTAGCTATGTTATCCTTTTGCAATACTCAAATTAGCATGTTGCATAAAGGGGTAATATAGTGATCCAAAGTAGAACATTTTTGCTTTTGTTGAGGCTCGAGGGAACTGCATAATTTTCATCGCAATTTCAAGTCTTTTTTGAACATTAGAAGCTCTACTTGGTTTAATGGTAAACTTCTGGAGAGAAGGGGAATGAGCAAGAAGAAGCTTTATAAAAAGCAGTTCCGGTATTGATCCTTCTAAATATCTTATCTCCACAGTTTTCAATCGACACAATTTATAGTCCAAGGAGTTTGGAGATTTCAAAATACTTGACGCAGGCCCGATGTCAGCTTGAGGCTCCTAAAATAACATAAAAAATTCAACCACACTTTAGCTTCCAACTCGTGTATCGTATAACCAATATGTATATATATATATATATATATATATATATATATATATATACTTTACCATCTCCAAGTTCATAGTCAGTGTTTTAAGATTTGGTGAGTTCCGAAGCAAACAAAGAACACCATGAAGCTGATCCAAGTCCCCAAATTGAAATTTTCCGAACCACAAATGCCTTAAGCTATTAACTGGATGCGGAAACCACTTTGGAATATTTTCTGCAGTAAACATCTATGAGGTGAAAGTTAGATTTTAACTTGCCTAAATAGCATGAGAACCACATTTGAGATAAATAGTAGTACATCTTTGTGCAAACTCTTTTTGAGAATTATACCTTGAGGAACTGAGCATCGATATAAAAAAAACGAATTTTGGTCAAGTTACTTAACAATGTGGCCAACATGGCATCAGGACAAGCAATGACAGTTAAATTCCTCAGTTTTGTAGCCTTGATGTTGAAATTGTAGACATTTGTGCATGAATACAGGGACAACGTCTTTAGCTGTGGTAGGTTCATCTTAGTTCCACACAAGTTAGCCCCAAAATCAATATCCTTCAGAAGAAGTTTTTCAAGGTTGAGAAATCCTTCAAACTCAAGTGGTGGCTTAAAGAAACAATTTTCCAGTTCCAACTTTGTCAACTCAAGACAATAAAACACATAAGAAGGAAGTTCATAACGTTGATTTGAACTAGTAAGAATGAGTTCCCTGACTCCATTTCTTGATAAGAGTAGCATCCATTGATCGACTTCTTGGAAGCTATCAACAGACATGTTTGGTATATGGAGATGAAATTTCAAGATATGACCTTTGTGAAGGGTCAAGACTTGGTTTATGATCTTTATAAACTCATTATGACCAAAAGCTTCATTTTTTGCAAATTTGTTTGAAAACGTCTTATCAAAAACCAGAGCCCGTATTTCTGTCCATCTATACCTCCATGTTTTAGATATAATGCTTGTCCTTACAGCATCTTCAAATGGGACCCGCTCTAAAATTGAGTCTACCAAGTCCTCTGGCAAGTTATTGATTCTATCTTCTCCTATACAAGTTACAGAACTCCTTTTATAATTCTCTGTCATTAGATTCAGAAATAAAAAGGGGACTTGGTTATTTCAAGAAAAATGAAAAGCAATAAGAAACACAGAACAAGTTGACATTTCTGATACTCTTCTTAGTATCCTTTTATTATCAAAGGAGGTTTTGGGTGTGGTAACATAACTCATGAGAAAGAAATTGTTTTATTTGAAGTACATATAATTTAATAACTGTAAGCATTTTTTATGAAATGTAACTCAAAAGTTAGTATTTTGTAACCTTATTAGATGATAATCCAAGTTTCTTAAAGAAGATAATGTTTTAACAAGAGGGCCACAGAAACTAGCAATGGACCAGAAATATGGTAGGGGCTGCATATATCATATCAAATGCAAGAAGAGTAACAAAGGGACATTGACTTGCTGTTTGTGCAAAAAGACATGAATGCCCTTTCACTCTCTTTCATCCAAAATAGCCCTAACAGCATGCCCTGATTGTTATGGTTCACATCTGTTTTTTATAGCATTTAGGGGATACAATTTCTTAACAATCATTTAATTATCGTTCGAACGCATGTAATATATCTTCTCAAAACCAGTATCTTGATTTCTGTGATCCAATGATACGTGATAACTGATAAATGACAAGAAATGAAATCCCAAAAATAGAGTTTACGTATTCAACTTGAATGTACAAAGCAATCATAAACATCATGATTCAAACACAATCTCTCAAATAAGTTGATATAGCAATAAAAGGATATCGAGATCTCCCATACGACTTTCAAAGAAAAAAAAAACATGAAGGTTAACGCCTTAATGGAGTAAAAACCTACCCATCGTACCCTCTGCCGACCATCTGCGGTAAAAAGAGACAGAGTTAGGGTTTACTCTTTACTGCCCACGGCACTAAATTAAATATAGAGTATATTTAGTTATTTACCTTAGATGGTCCTGATGTATAGTCAAAGTTGCAACTTTAGTTCTTTTTTCGTTTTACACTGTTCGTTCTTGTGGTTTTATTTATGGCAGTAATTGTCCTTCAAACGTCAAAACTAATTTTTGGTTGTTTATTTTTATAGAATGATGAATTTGTGTTTTTTTTTTAAAAAACAAAAGTAAATTACACGAATGGTTCCTGTGGTTTGGAGTAATTTATTGCATCTTTGGTCCTATCAAACATAAAAATAAATTTTGTATTATTTCGGTTTGTCAATTTTAAATTAAAAAAATAGAAAAAAATTAAAACACCCCCCCTCCACTCGCCATTTTATCCCCACCCACCCTCTCCTATTACATTTTCACGAATTTCCCTAAACCTTTTTGTCCGACGACAGAACACTAACACTTTTTTTGAGAGAGACACCCCATCAACCGCCATGTGAGCTTTCTTCATCTTATCCTCTCTTCCTGAATCTCCATTCTAATTCTAGTAATTTTTTATGGGAAATTAGAATAAATGCTAAAAATGCAAATTTCGAAGGCATGTGGGAGATTCAACAGATTTTGTCGGAGACAAAAGAAGGAGCGACAGAGGTAAGAAATTTCCTATTCTTGATCCTCTATTTTCTCACCGTTAAGTTTGATTCTGGCACTCAAGATGTTGGTCTTATTTTTGGTTCGATTTTGATCTCCCTTTAGTGGGGGATTTAGTTTTGGTAGGAAATTTGGTTTTTCATGTTGCAAAATTTTTGGTTTATCAAGCTACAAATCTCGGTTTCATTTGGCAAAGTCGAAGATTTTCAAAATTGATGTGGGTGTGGCAGTGAGTGTTGGAGGTGAAGGATTAGGGACTTGACAAAATCTTTGTGACATTCCAGGGATGAAAAGAAAGATGTGTAACATCTCGTTTTTTCGGTATGTTAAGATTTCTGTATTTTTATTATTTAATTTAATTATTTTAATTTTAAAAATGAAGGAAACAACATAATAACCTAAAAAGAAATAGAAATGGAGAGGGTGGGTTGAAAGGGCCATATTTAAAACTTAAATTGTTAGACTTCTTGGAACTTAGGGACCATTTGTGTCAAATTTGCCAAAATGAAATTCTATTATGGTTTAAAATCGAGAATGGCCTATCTTTCATCACTATTTTCGTTCTAGGGGCAGCCCCAAATCCTAGAATTGCAATCCTTGAAGAGTAAGAGTTCAGACCAAAAAGAAAATTTCTGGAATTCCTATTTTTGAAGACCTTATAGTAGTGTTTGGACGATCCACGGAGATTAAACCGTTGGATCTTCACAAAATTTTAAATGAAGGTTCCTACGAAATATATGGAAGTTTTGACCGGAGGTATTTCAATTTCATTTTGTGGAGTTAGAGTTACTGGTTTTCAATCAAGGTAGAAGTTTTAGGAAGGTTTATGGAAATCGTTTTTGGTACAAGCCTTGTCTGTAGCATTCAATCTCAATGGCCTACGTAAGATTTCATCATTATTGAGTGTATTATAGATGTAGAGACCTTATGTGTTCATATGGGGATCAACCCTAGTCAATAAGGTTAGGTGTACATTGGATCGAAAACCCTAACCCTAGTGTTGAAATGTGGTTGAGAGAATTACTGTTATGTATTGTTCTTAGAAACATTAAAAATAATTCATGGAAGGTCTTTCGGACCTAAACCCATGCCCAAGGTTCAAAAATTAAGTATAGTGAATTTCATTAGATTTGACCTAAGCATGGAAATGGCTTTAATTAGGTTGATAAATGTGATTTTCACTTACTTGTCCGGATTGAGTTGCTATGATATGTTGTTTTCAAAAATTCATAATAAATAATAGAAAATCATATGAACAAGTGTAATAGGTACCTGAAAAGTTATAATGTTGAATTTTCGTTGTAAGGAATAATGATACATAATTGATGGTTTTAAGGAGGCTAAAGTAGTTTCGAACAGACTACTATTTTAGGGCATATTCTAGGAAAATAAACCAAATAGCTAATATATATATATATATATATATATATATATATATATATATATATATATATATATATATATATATATATATATATATAGGGTTAGGATCAAATGTGAATTGCATATATTGTGTGAGTGTATGACAAGTTTTGGACCATTAGATTAGATTTGTATATGGCTAAGATTCTAAGGTGCATAATAGTTAAAATGGAACACATGTACACACATATTTTCCTTTAATAAAAGAAAATTAGAAATTATAATTATAAGGGCATAACTGACATTTTAATTGGCTCCCAGTAAGGAAGTTGAGAGAATTAAGGAGAACATAATTATTTAAATTCAGAAAGTTATTTAGTTATCAAAATAATTAGGCTATAACCCGTGGGAACCACGGTTACAAATATAAACAAATATTGATAGTTAAAAATAATAATAATTAATTATTTATTTTCAAAATATTATTATTTTATAGAGTTATGAGATTTTGATGTAACATTAATGTTGGATTAAAATAAACATGTTAAACATTTTTTTTAGGATACATATGATATTCTTTTTTAATAATTTGTTTTTTTTTATGTAAAAGTATTTTATTATTCTTATTAGTTACAATTTAAATTCAATGCATTGGTAGTGAATTAATTGTTTTTTATTTTCATTTTCATAAACTGATAAATAAATTAAATTTAAAATATATAATTATTAATGTAAATTGGAGCAACATACATTTATTACAGACTCAATTAGGCTACACTTATGGTGCTTACAAGCTACAACGATGACGATATGTAAACAACCATAATAATATAAAAAACGTTCAAAACTAACATAGCATTATTTGCCTTACTATTTTTTGCTAGTTTGATTACCTCTCCTCTACACCCATTCAAAAATTGGCGCTCTTATATACCATAAATAACATATTATTAAATAATTAAGTAAAATGGGTTGAATTAGATACACAAATAAAACCTTTAGAACGCACTTCAACAGTTAGCTCACTTATGCACCATGTATAAATATGGGTTTAGCATTAGCATCAGAACTCCACTATGCACATCATTACAATCTATTGATTTGCTAGCTGTTAAAAAAATGAAATCACAAGAAAAGTATCATCAACTAATACTTGGATGAAAACAAAAGAAGAAAAGGAAAATAGGATGATTATGGAAAGGCTAACAAAATCTAAATCAAGTACAATACAAAAATTAACCTGAAGTTGCAAAAGAATTTAAATAAACACCAGTAGATATAATAATAAGAGCAAAATGAACAATGAGTAGAAAAACAACTTAGCAAATGGCTTAAGTTATTATCTTTGAGAACACTTGTAGACAACAAAAAAAAGGTCAAGTTATTTATTTACATTTTTGCAATAAGTCTAGAATTTCATTACAATTTATTTAACAGCTGGATAAACGTATCAATATACAATGCTTTAATAAAAAAATTATAATAAAAATGTTGTAATTTAAAGAAATAAAAGTAGGATGCTATAGAATGAAGTAAAAGAAAGTATGTTGCTAGTTCTTGCAGTTAAACCAAATATTTATAATCAATCAAATATGTAGTTTGTTTAATTAATAATCGTAATCCCCATTTGGAAAACCATAAACTTAAGTAGAATAATTACATACCCAACCATCTGCATTTAGCTCTTCTTTCATAAAAAAATCGATCTGTTGGTCTCTTTCTTGTTAAAAGCTATAAGAACTCATCATAATTATGCCCAAACCTACAAAACACAGTACAACTTCATAACTTGTAACACCGAAATTTTTCAAACAAATTTTTTATTTTAAAATCGCATACTTTTCATAACATATTGTATAGAAATCTCGTTTATTCAAATTACAAAGCACAACTCCATTAATAATCCAGGATCCTCAAAATATAACTCTTTCTCTGGTGTGTACAATCAAGCCGGTGCCGTCCCGTATTCCCGAGAAAACCTGAAACACATAACACATAACACGGTAAGCACGAAGCTTAGTGAGTTCCCCAAAATACCACATATAACACATATTAGTCACTCGAGGCTATAACTCTGTGGACCCTCTGGTCCTAACTCTGTGAACCTTCCGGTTCTAACTCTGTAAACTCTGGAACATACACAGCATAAATCACATAGAAATAATGCAGTGCATCACAATCACATAAGTAGCATACAAGATACTCTGTCATATAACTCTAATTACCACTCTAGGTAAAGTATAGTGAGAAGACTCACCTCGGGTAACTCGGTAAATCTCGAACTCGGTAAAAATCTGGTATAGCCTCCGCCTAATCACATGGAATAAGTACTCTAATCAATACAACTCTCAAGGCTAGACTAATCCCTCTCTTAGCCCTCTCAGAAGGGTAAAAGACCATTTTACCCCTCTCATGGCTCAAAGACCCAAACATTGACCAAACCCTAAAAGTCAACAAAAGTCAACTCTCCGGGTTATGTTGCGCGTACCAAACCTGTACGCTGGGCGTACCCGGCAACCTCACAGAATCGGGGAACGCGACCCCCTACGCTGCGCGTATTGGGATTACGCCCCGCGTAAGTCCCAGTTTCATGCTCCTTTGCTTTTGGGGTCTTAAACGGTTAAGACACACGTCCAACTCCCAGATCTGACTACCCCTAAGCCTCTTAATCCATAAAGTTGGTGACTTTAAGCCTTTGCATGGCTGTAAGAGTCACCAACACCCAAATCATTCCACTTCCAACACTTTAAAGCCCATAACTCAAACATGACTCCTTAATGACGACCAAGTTGGGATTTTTATGGATCTACAACACACATATCACTGAAATGGGACAGATCTAGGTCCATGGAGCCCCTTTTGCTCATAAAGTCTCCATCTTTGGAACTTAAACCCTAGAAATGGACAGATCTAGGTCCATGGAGCCCCTTTTACCTCTAAGTGAAGCTTCTTCCTCTGAAGAACTCAGATCCAAGCTTGAACTCCAAACCCTAGCCTCCACAAGCACCTCCCCTTCTTCTTCACTAACACACGAAGGCACTTTTAGCTCAAAACACTCACACACAAGCTTTAGGACGAAGGAATTGCTCTCTTAGGGTTTCTCTCTATGAAATGGTGGCTGAGGATAAGGCCATATCATTCCTTATATAGTGCACAAGTCTCATTTAGGGTTTGCATCTGGACCAGTTAGGCCCAGCGTAACTTTGGTACGCCCAGCGTACCTTAAAGAGTCCGCGTCCATTTCAAGCGCATGAGTACGCCCAGCGTACTCTCCAGTACGCCCAGCGTACTCATTTGGAACATTTTCCACTCAGGGACCAATCTTGACAACTTGACAAAAGAGAAGGGTTAAATAGTTGTACCTGAATTTCAGGATGTAACAATTCTCCCCCACTTATTTTGATTTCACCCTCGAAATCGCTCCTTAAACCACACATAGATTGAATTCAACAACCCGAAAGGCACCACCAAAAGGATCTCATGCCGCACAGAAACTTTTCCATGGACACCTGAAAACACACAGAAAACTCCCAAATCCATAACTAATCCAACCCTTCTGCCTCTAATATACTCCTTCTCAAAATCTCGTAACTCTGGTGGCCTGACAGCCGTCAGATCGCCTACTCAAGCGATCACCATGATATTCGCTCCTCGAATATCAAACCCTGATAACTCATTGGTCCTTTGATTTTCACAAAACCAATTCCAACAATCGGCTACCGTTCACTCATACCAAACATGCCGAATGATCTGATCACGCCCCAAGAAACGGGGGGTTCACACCCCACCGGGGTTCATCCACTAAACTGCTATCAGACCCCATCCGAACAAAGAATCCCCAACACTCTGTCCTCAGACATAAGAGAATAACCATGCTCGCTTAGAAGTGTCCTCAGACATCACCATGATAAGCTCCAGTTTCGTCTCTCATATCCCCTTTTCAATACTGAGCACCAGATCAATTCCTGAGTCCACCGATGAACCTCCAAAGGTAACCCATAACATGTCCCGAAATGTCTCACTGACTCCTTCCCTACAACAACTATCTCGGCCCAGTGACACACAAGTCACGAAGTTCTCTTTACCCCAATAGCTACCACATTCCCACTAATCGTTTCACCCTCGACCTCGGTCGAACACTACTCCCTAGATACATGCGCCTCGCGGTAACTCCCGTACCAACGAACTGACCCACCCCGTTCTAAAGCATCGGAAGACAAACAATACTCCTCAAAATGGATTCCCTCTCAGAATCCCGCAGTCTCCTCTCGTCTACTCAATGCACCACTTGAGCCAAACTCAACTTGAGAGTCCGGCCCGACCCAGAATTGGAACCACTCGTCCCCAAAAGAACCACCCAACTCATGATTCATGACCCGCAACTCATGCGTTCCTCACTTATCCACTTCCCTTTGGTTGCGACAACTATTACTCAATTTCAGAATATAACGACTCCCGACAAATATGGAGACCCCAGACTTGCCCCTGGTTCGACCACCAGGCTCCCACAAAATCAAATATTGGGGCTACCCAAGCCCAAAACTCTTCTCCGTCACGTTCTAATCAGAGAGCACTTCGTCACAACATTCTCTTGCTGACTAGCGGGTACCACGGCTCCCCGCAGTATCATAATGACCTCTCACTGAACAGTGAGTACTACGGCTCCCCGCAGCATCACCACAACCCCTCACCGAATAGTGAGTACTACGGCTCCCCGTAGCATCACCGCAACCTCTCACTGAATAGTGAGTACTACGGCTCCCCGTAGCATCACCGCAACCTCTCACTGAGTAGTGAGTACTACGGCTCCCCGTAGCATCACCGCAACCTCTCAGTGAATAGTGAGTACTACGGCTCCCCGTAGCATCACCGCAACCTCTCACTGAATAGTGAGTACTACGGCTCCCCGTAGCATCACCGCAACCTCTCACTGAATAGTGAGTACTACGGCTCCCTGTAGCATCACCGCAACCTCTCACTGAATAGTGAGTACTACGGCTCCCCGCAGTATCACAACACCCTCTCGCTGACTGGCAAATACTACGGCTTCCCGCAGTATCACCGCACTCTCTCACACTAACTCATGGATGCTACAGCTCTCTGTAGTCTTACCGTGATTTCTATTACCACTCCACGATCTCACCCTCAAGTTGACACCACACTACGATCATTAACTCATGCACTGCGGCCTAGCATAGATAGGTACACACACACCCCTCCAGGCTAAGCATCACTACTTCGGACGACCACTGTCGTGACAAAACCTCTTTTTCTCGCTGCAATTCACATTCTCAAATAAATCCATTTGATGTCAATTAACTGAAGGGCCTCCACTGGAACCATAGACACTTGATACACCACTCGTCATCTCAAACTCAAACTCAAAATAATCCGAGATTTTAGGACATTAAACTCGGACACCCCGGAATACCATCACAACGCGTCGCAATGTCTTGACTCTACCAATGATCTCATACTCATGGCATCATACTCAGATACTGCATTGCTTCCTCGGAATCTCGCAACCGGTCTTTCTCTCGTGCCACTTGTAACCCCGGATACTCCATCTCCCAAATTTAAACACGGAGAAATTGCCAACGACTCGGAACACGAAGATGATAATCTGATACTTCCTCCTCTATTTCTCAAAACTCATGCAAGAATACTTATAACGACCCTGAAGTTGGTTGCCCAATCAACTTCTTCCCTTCCCATACTGCATATAATAGCCCATACTCTGAACCAGAAATTATCAACCGCCGAACTAACCTTACAAGCCAACCACCTCGAATTCACCATTTTAACCTTGAAGGATTACTAACCACCATAAGGTCTCCGATCAACGGCCACTTTCCATGGAGACAATCATCCTTTCTCAAATACGTACCACATGCACTATCTCACTCTGCACCTCCCCTTGACCACCAATAACTCTGGTCTCAGGAATCCACACCACAGGCCTCTCTATCCAGTTCTCTAACCGCTCTTGAACAAATCTCTGATCTCCTCAAAAGTACCCGGTTCTCCCCCACTCAGGGTTCGAACCATCACCAATTGGTTCGCCAACAATGTAACCCACAGACTGTTTTTACCAATAACATCGCACCTACTCTTGGAAGGTGATACGCAATGCTCGATGATCTCCCCGATGGAGGTCAAGCAATTCCAAATACCCCGAATCTCCGATGAAATCCTCAGAAACTTCTCATCATGACTACCTCTAGTCATTCAGAATCTCGTACCATCCCACTACCGGACATCTCAACTGTCCAGTCGTAGCCCTGACTCTCAGTCTGAAAATAAAGAAGTAACATATTCCTCATCCTCAACTCTTCAACCAACGATCCATCACGTGGGTTGTAATAAGAGTGGAGTCCTCATTACCACACTCGATACTCATCATAGACAATAAGAGCCACCGCCCCAATATCCTCTTCTTGATCGTCTGCCGTTGCAGCTAATACATGCCCTACTATGCTCAAATAGGGTGTATCCTTGTCCTTAACCATCTCAGTCCCCGCTGACAACTTGCTCATGCTCTAACATTACCTCTTGGCAGACATACTGCCCAAATACTCTGATGAAAGATCGTAACCAAAGCTACTCCACAGGGCTCACCCCCAACCTTGGAAACCGAAAATCTCAATACCTCTCCTGTTTCCCACAGGAACAGAAATAGCACCGCTCAGGTCACAGAAAATGACACCTCCACCATCGACTGATTGCTCAACTCATGCCATAATCCTCCATAACCGCCATCTCTACTCATTCCTGAGTCTTGCGACTCCAATTGGCATGTCACCAACAATCCCTCGGAGCTAACTCGATTTCCCTTTTAAGGGATGCTCCACTAAAACTCGTTCATCATGGCCCTCTGGCCCCATACTCTTTCACATCTGATCTCGGTCTAGCCAATCACCACGGAATAACTGGTAGAACCAATAACACTAACTGCCACGGGTCATGGTACTCGAACCATGTGGCCACCTCTCGATCTACTAAGAATCATGGTATCCGAACCATGTTATCTCTTCTCAATCCGCTATGAATCATGGTACTCGAACCATGACATCACCTCTCGATCTGCTCCAAATCATGGTACTCGAACCATGGAATCACCTCTCACTCTGCTACCAATCATGGAACTCGAACCATGACATCACCTCTCAATCTGCTATTTAGAATCCTCCGGAATACTCCCTGCATCGAGTATGGGTCCTCTGCTTTCAGTAGTACGGGCCCATACTACCTGCCACATCTACCCATACTCTCTACATGAACCATCCCAGATTCCCTAAGTAGTTGTTCAACCTTCTCAGCAGTCAATCTTATTACGCGTGCTCACTCCCCAGCAAAATGCTCTACTCTGTCAGCGCACTCATCTGACCATGATCACCCCTAGGTTCTCCCTAGGTCCTCACACTTCTCCGCCATCAGCTGCTAAAGAATTCCTAATGATGCCAGCCATCTACCTCCTGAATATCGTCATATTCACTTAGTAGCTGACTCCCATCATCGAGAGTTCCACAAAGCACAAAGCAAGCAGCATTCGGGCATCGAATAAATACGTAGAACTCACTCTAGGTGATAACTCCACTTGCTCTGCTTATACTCAAAGATATCACCGAACTCTGCAACTCTACCCCTCGCGGGTATCTAGCTACTCTCTCGATTAGGCTCCACAATGCTCATCTAGGCATCTCTCCTAGATTACTCCTCTACTCAAATCCTTCTCTACAAGGATTCCTGCTGGATACTCCTACTCAGCATATACTCGGAAGTGCATCACAGATAACAGCAATTTCCTAGGCTAAGGCATCACAAATCAGGCCACTCTAGTCCTAATTTATGAATTACCTAGCCTATCTCTAGCATGCATAATATCTCATAAAATATATCATAAAATATCTCATAACACAAAAGTAAAGGTACTTTGGGAAGTCACCGTTCGGGCTCTGGCTGATTCTACACACTTTCTCTTTCTCATTTTCTCTTAGAAACGCTTGCTCGTTTTTAGAAAAATCATTTCTTTTGATAATTCTTTCTCAAATCCTCAGTTTGAGTCCAGATTTACCCGAAGGTGCATCCGAATCCCTCAAACCAAGGCTCTGATACCAAGTTGTAACACCGAAAATTTTCAAACAGATTTTTCATTTTAAAATCGCATACTTTTCATAACATATTGTGTAGAAATCTCATTTATTCAAATTACAAAGCACAAATCCATTAATAATCCAGGATCCTCAAAATATAACTCTTTCTCTGGTGTGTACAATCAAGCCGGTGCCGTCCCGCGTTCCCGAGAAAACCTGAAACACATAACACATAACACGGTAAGCACGGAGCTTAGTGAGTTCCCCAAAATACCATATATAACACATATTAGTCACTCGAGGCTATAACTCTGTGGACCCTCTGGTCCTAACTCTGTGGACCCTCTGGTCCTAACTCTGTGAACCTTCCGGTTCTAACTCTGTAACTCTGGAACATACACAGCATAAATCACATAGAAATAATGCAGTGCATCACAATCACATAAGTAGCATACAAGATACTATGTCATATAACTCTAATTACCACTCTAGGTAAAGTATAGTGAGAAGACTCACCTCGGGTAACTCGGTAAATCTCGAACTCGGTAAAAATCTGGTATAGCCTCCGCCTAATCACATGGAATAAGTACTCTAATCAATACAACTCTCAAGGCTAGACTAATCCCTCTCTTAGCACTCTCAGAAGGGTAAAAGACCATTTTACCCCTCTCATGGCTCAAAGACCCAAACATTGACCAAACCCTAAAAGTCAACAAAAGTCAACTCTCCGGGTTACGCTGCGCGTACCAAACCTGTACGATGGGCGTACCCGGCAACCTCACAGAATCGGGGAACGCGACCCCCTACGCTGTGCGTACTGGGATTACGCCCCGCGTAAGTCCCAGTTTCATGCTCCTTTGCTTTTTGGGTCTTAAACGGTTAAGACACACGTCCAACTCCCAGATCTGACTACCCCTAAGCCTCTTAATCCATAAAGTTGGTGACTTTAAGCCTTTGCATGGCTGTAAGAGTCACCAACACCCAAATCATTCCACTTCTAACACTTTAAAGCCCAGAACTCAAACATGACTCCCTAATGACGACCAAGTTGGGATTTTTATGGATCTACAACACACATATCACTGAAATGGGACAGATCTAGGTCCATGGAGCCCCTTTTGCTCATAAAGTCTCCATCTTTGGAACTTAAACCCTAGAAATGGACCATGAAACACCAAGCCAAAATAAAGAGGAAAGTTCTGAGCTTTTTACCTCTAAGTGAAGCTCCTTCCTCTGAAGAACTCAGATCCAAGCTTGAACTCCAAACCCTAGCCTCCACAAACACCTCCCCTTCTTCTTCACTAACACACGAAGGCACTTTTAGCTCAAAACACTCACACACAAGCTTTAGTACGAAGGAATTGCTCTCTTAGGGTTTCTCTCTATGAAATGGTGGCTGAGGATAAGGCCATATCATTCCTTATATACTGCACAAGTCTCATTTAGGGTTTGCATCTGGACCAGTTAGGCCCAGCGTAACTTTGGAACGCCCAGCGTACCTTAAAGAGCCCGTGTCCATTTGAAGCGCATGAGTACGCGCAACGTACTCTCCAGTACGCCCAGCGTACTCATTTGCAACATTTTTTCACTCAGGGACCAATCTTGACAACTTGACAAAAGAGAAGGGTTAAATAGTTGTACCTGAATTTCGGGATGTTACATAACTTATATCATTTACCTTGGAATCAACATGAACATATAGTCATTCAACCATAGCAAGTTCAATCCGTTTTCTAAAAGTAAAAAATGAATTAGTTGTAAGTATCCATTACAGTAATGCTAGAAATTTCACGTTTTACATAAAGAGAAAAGAAGTTTGGCAGCTTTATAGAGCCTATATTATAGCTTCTACAACCATACCTAAATCTTATAAAGTGTGAGCTAAACATATTTTAGCCAAAGTTTCATCAAATGGTTTTAGATCTTTCAATATAATTACCATGAAAAAACATATGCTACACCTTGTATTCATTTTCTTAAAAAAATAGAAGAACCAGTTTTAATTTTATATACTATAAAAGATGTGTTTAACCACAAAAGCAAAAAAGCATTTGTAACTTCGAAACCAAATTCTATAATAGAGTTATACACCTTTGGACTTTAACTTCACTTATAAGATTCATAGAGTTTGCGATCGTCCACAAATTTAAAGAAATTTGACAAAAACATTAATAAAACTCATTGATGAGTGAAACAGAAAACTTTCAGGCCCATACATTTAGAGACAACATGATTTGTACAAACATCTTGATTTTCTCACAAATACTCTTATACTTGATTAGTTAATCTTGATAACTAATTGGGCTGGTATGCTAAGGGCAGGGGAATATGCAAATAGAAAATTCAAATACAAAGAAAATTGAGGGAAATTGATTTAGTTATATGATGGACGACTCTTAATCTTTGTTAACATAGCCATCTGTTAATATGAATCGTAATCATATCAAAACATCCTATAAACTATAATATTAACATTTTTAGATAAAAAACTGTCGGATGTTACCTTCCCGACTTCGTTATCCTTGAATCATTGTTGAGGGAGTCCCAAATCTTTGGTACTTTTAAGGTATTTCCAATAGACGTATCGAAAATAGTATCAAAATCTTGCATTTCCTTTGCTTCTTCCTCTAAAGTCGACCAAACATATCACCATAGGACTCTAGGTTTTCGTTTGTCACTTCTAACGTTTCTAGTTGCGATCGTGGTTCCTCCATTTGCAATTCAGACGCATCACATTAAACCCTGTACTTTACAGCGAAATCCCTAAAAGAGAAGATGAAAAACAAAAGAGAAACATAGACCATGAAAGCGAGAGAGATAAATATGGAGAAAATTTTGTGGATACAACACACTTATTGGGAGATAAATACGCTTTTTTGTTATGTTTGAATTTATGATAGACTAATCTCACGGCTGATTTATATAGGGGATTGCAAAGTCAATTTCAAATTCGAAAAACACGTAGAGAATTGTTCATAAAAGGGATAGCATTTCTAAATGAGCGACCAGTGGCAAATATTAAATACCAAGGCGTAGTAGGGCGACACGGACAATCAGAACTACTCGTTTATTAGATAGGGTAAATAGATCTTGATAAAGATATTATCAACTGCTCTGGTAGATCAACAAAACATATTGTATGTATTCAATACCCAACTAATAGATGAAATCACCAGGTCTACAAAGATAACAAATATAGATGTACAAGTAGGAGTGAGTGCAAATCGAAACATTAGAGTGAAATACGAATCGAGAGTTTGAGAACCGAAACTTCCCTTTTTGTAAGATTGATATCGCCATGAATGTTGATAAACCAATCAAACCTACAATCGAAAGCCCTCTAATCAATGAATACACTGGTGAAATAAGCATCTGCGAGGTCGAAGAAGAAGAGAACGATAGCCATAAAAATAATAATCATAACCCAAATAACCTTTCGAATTTACCTTTCAAAATTGGAGAAATAGTTGTGGATCAACGTTAGGGGTAACCCTGGTTCCAATAACAAAAGCAATCAATTTGGGAGGAGACGTAAATAATGAAAAGACCAAGAAGAGCATTAAAAAGGATGGAGGTGAGATTAAGGAGTCAACTTCGTTCCTCAAATCATGGGGTTTTCTTAATCAAGTCGCAAATATTCGATAGGATAGCTGATTTCTCGGGTAAAATTTGGAAATTGTTTTCAATTTTTTTCCATGAATAAGGATTTCATTGAGGGATACTATGAGCGGGAAAATAATTGGTGGAGGGTCTAGAAAGATTACACGTGGCAAAGTGGTTGTGTAAAAGAGAGTCATGTGGCTGTTTAGGGAGGTTTTTATTAAAAGTAGATCTCTATTCGTATATATCTAAGAAATGATATTATACGCATCATACTGAACAATTAAAGAATTCTCCCAATAAGTAGAGAAAAAAAAATATAAGTTCATTCTTAAGGAACTTGAGATCATTCTTAAAGAATATGAGTTCTTTAAGAGATTCTTTTAAAATTAAACATTATCAAATAATATGACTGCATCAATAATAATAATTTGCACAAAAAAATAAAATATTCTAAAAGAATACACATGTATATATTATAAAATAACATTTCATTCTTTGAGAAACATATATTGCTATGTAATCAAGAATATATACTAAAACAATAAGAAACATTCTTATAACATAAAACAACAATTTTCACAACATAAAACAATAATGTGTATAATATTTTAAAGAATATACACAACCTTCTATACTACATTCTTTAAGAATTTGTTTGTAATATATATTATATGTTTTGTATAATATACAACATTTTTGAAGAATAAATAAATTACATTATATTATATACTGCATCCTTTAAGAATATGTTTGTCACAAGGGTAAATTGAAATATACAACCCTACATTCTTCTCCACTGTTTGTCGGCTTTCATCATCTTTAATCATCTTCAAACAACCAACACTACATACATTCTTGTTTCCCAAGAAATGCTTCAAACAACCTTCTTGCAATATGAAATTTGATCATATTCAATAGAATAATTACAACCTGAGCATCCCTATTGATGGCAGAATCTCCAGTCAAAAGACCAACATTGTCTTCACCAAATGCTTCATTGAAAAATAAAATGAATTATGAGCAACTAACAAAAAGAATTTACTTTTATTAGTTTTCTTAGATGTAGATTTTCTTGATAAAAAAAACTCCTGAACTTCTGATTAGATAGTACCTTAAAGGGAGTAGCATAGAATAATGTTCTTCCTCTAGCTGCTGTAACAACAATTGCAGCTTCAACAATCAAGATTTTGTTTGTACTTGTGGTTATTGAAACTACAACTGATGAACCTCTTAAAAAAGCTTGAATGGCTAACCACTAGACAATATTTTCACAAACAATGGTATTTACCTCATCATAAACCTTCATTGGATGTAATTTATCTTACTGAATGCCAAATTTACTAGTGTATAAATGTAAAATTCACCTAAAATTCGTCAATTTGGAAGTTGTGAACAAAATCAAGTTTATCAACATCAATGATTCCAAAACCATACTCCCTCACATCATTACGTATCATCTCAATTCTTAGACACTTCAATTTTCTCAAATCGAGACTTATTCACATCAACCTCTAAAACATTACTCTATTCACTCTCAACCTAATCTTCATAGCCACTTTCAATTACCTGACCAAATACATGAACCACATCGTACTCCTCCGCTGCTTCCTCATCATCTTTTCTATCCTCATCGGTATCCTCTGATGATGCCTGAGAGTCCCTTACTAAACAATCTGACTTCGGAAAAATTGTAATTACTTTGAAATTGACAAGTTTTTTCCTTGTAATTTTGAAAAAAAACTATAGAAACAGAAAGCGATGGTGTTTTATGAGTGAATGTTGAATCTGAAGTAACGATGGAGAGTCATCAAGAGATTTCTAGTGTAGGGTTTAGAACGAAAAATAGGGAGAAAATAAAGGAACAAATTCTTGTGCTTCCGCGTCGTCGGCTCAACGACGGTGTTCTATGGTGCATTGACGATTTAGCAGTGGCTGTGACATCCCCATTTTCACGGCTAGAAAAGACCGATTTTGTTTATGCTTTATAAAAATCAGAGTACCTCTTTTAATAAAAATGTTGCGGAATTTGTTCCCAGTAAAAACATGATAAATACGTTATCAAAGAATTTCCGAAGAAAAGTATTTTTATTCATTTTAAAACATTTGGGATGTCATCGTGAATACATAAACATAAGCATAAACAGAACTTACATTCATCATCACTAGTGATTTATATCTCCTTAATCTCTCAGTTTAATGTGACTTCATATCAACACCTGTGATATAAATAAACTGAGTGGGTCAGGTTGGGAAACCTAGTGAGTACATAGGGTTTTCAACCCACAATAATATAATCATTATGTTTAATCATCAAACAATCAATCAACCCAATTACACATCCCCATTATCTTATTTACTCTTAAGGATCTACCCTAAGAATCAGCTATTCCTCGTTCATTCATTCCTAAGGATTATCCTAACGAATAGGCACGATATCCATCGTTGCTAATGACACATCTGTCAAGCACAACTGCTAATATTATCACTTAGGCGCAGCTGCCAGAATTGTGACATTCTTTATGGGGCGCATCTGTCGGTATAGTCTTTTAGGCGCATATGCCGGTGTTATGAGGTTCTCTATTAGGCGCTTCTGCCGGTAGAGTCCTTTAGGCGCATCTGCCAGGGTTATCTCTCATATTGACAGTATCGTTTTCGAGAGTCCACTCGCAATACAGGTCAATGGGTTTTTTTAGAGTACACCGGTGAATACATCGTTCACAACACCTACAGGTTGCAAGCCTGCTAGTGTTCCACTGGACTGTCTAGAATAGTCCGTGGTTGTCATCCATACTCTGCTAGATGACGGGGTCAGCATTTGGGAACAAGGCTTCTCACATCGTCCACCTCTCACCCTTACCTCATGGTCTATATCACATCTCAACGTATCGTCCAACTCATATTTCATCTACCCATATTTACCCAACATATTATGTAAATATAAATACATATACAGTTTAAATCATATAAAACTTGTATAAAATCGTTCATCCAGCATATATAGCAAGTATACAGATAATATGCACACATAGCATGTAGTTTATATAAAATACTTCATATCTATGTGTAAGATGAAAGTAACTATGCACTCACCTGTCAAGGTGGTGACTCGGCACTCGGACAGTACTTCGTTACTCTTAACACAATTTTCCTCGGACAAAACCTAGTATCATTACCACTAGAGTTTAGTCTAATATTCACCGAGACTAATTAATAATCTTGCTATTATTATTATTATATAATCATGAAACAATATTTCTCAACCACTATATACAGACAGGGGCCAGACATAAAACACCGGAGGGCAGGACCATTTTGGCATATAGCACTTCTGAAATCCAACCCTATGCGGCCATTTAAACCAGATTCCCAGTACCGCGAGTGGTTAAAAGATATTATAACGACACTTATATAACTCATAATTATAGCCCAATTACTTATTATAAGGTCCTAATAACATTACTATATTAAAACATAAGATATACGAACGATAGGGTAGGCGTAGCTCACTTACAACGGGTTTTTCGCAAAACCGGGCTTCGCTGGAGCAGCATTCCCGAGCCGAAAGGCTCTTTTCTCGGGGCTTCAGGAGCCTCCGGGATTCCTTCGGGTGCTAGGGGGTTACCTAGGCTTAGGGGGGTTATGGGGGCTAGAAAGAGAGTTTAAAGATAGAGAGAAGAGGTTGGAATGGTGTGAAGAATGAGGGAACCCGACACCTCTATTTATAGGCTGGAAAACAGCTCTACTCGTCGAGTAGGTCCTCCTACTCTTCGAGTCCATGCCACATGTCACCTTCTGGTGGCTTGCCTTGGGGAGAAAGCCTTGGCCCATAATCAGCCACGTCACCCGATTTCGCACAGCACCCTGCCGACTTCTAAACCCCGTAACTTTCGAATACGAGCTCCGTTTTTGACGTTCTTTATATCCACGCGTAGGTAAAAACAAGATCTACAACTTTCATTTAGGCTCCGTCGGCTAATTCTCGACCGATCTTAAATTTAACAGTAGAAGATGATTATATTGTCAAATGTCCGCGTAAAATTCATAACTTCTACATACGGACTCCGTTTTCGTGTGTCTTTTTACCATTGAGTTCCTATTAATGAGATCTTCAATTCTCATTTAGGTCGCATAGGCCAAAAACCGCTCGATCTAAAATTCGAGTTTCGGGTCGTGCACTGCTAAGCCAAATCTTAGAAAAATCATAACTTCCTCATACGAAGTCAGATTCGGGCGTTATTTTTTTTGTATGTTCTCGGTTTAACATATAGTACAACTCTTGTTTAGATCACTAAGGCAAAAAAGTCTTCTACCGTAAATTCATTATTTACGTCTCCCGGTGGCATGCCGGTTTTGCCGTAAAACTTCGACGGGCCATAACTTCTTCGTTATAACTCGGATTTCGGCGTTCTTTATATGTATGGAACCCTTGTAACATATACTACAACTTGGTTAAGATTAATCCTTCTAAATAATCTTCCATCAAAAACTCATTTTTGATGCTCATCGTCTCTAAATTGACTAGGCCGGATCTGCGGGCATTACAATTATCTCCCCCTTAAGATGATTACGTCCCGTAATCATCAACGAAACAGGGCTGTATAATGACTCCGTACGTTATCTCTTTATCCTAGGTAATAATCGTAACTTCTATGTTCCTTCGAATGAGTATCTATCTCTTGGGCTCTTTGATTGCAGGCGGTGCTTGATCTTGCACTTGCTCCCTATCTCACGTTAGACTCCAAATTATGACCTTCAAGTCACAATCTCGATCCTCACTGGATGCGAACTTAAGATGAGTTCTTTTATTACTAAAATGGAACGATGTTTCATATTCTAATGACCTATCATCGTATGTTGCAAAGCTTAGACTCAGGTCTCTTAGAGTCTTCCAAAAACAGACTATACTCTCCTTCATGTTCTAATCTTATCTTATAAGGTAGCATTTCTATCTACAAGCAACCGTCGTGATACCTCTACTGATTGCTTTGATTTAATTCTTCCAGCTTAAGTCGGTGCTACATCGAACTTGGTTCTCAGAACCACGTAACATACTCGTCGTAGTCGGACTCAATTTGATATGACCACTAGGGTCGGAATAACAATCATCTTCTTAGTCATTACCGAAACGATGGTAACGACATACTTGAATAAAACGAAATCAATTACTAGCTCCTTGGTAACCTTGTAACTTTCCCTGATCCAAGCGTGAGTCATGTGCTTCCGGTAGTATAGGCCTCTACTACCTTTCACACCTACTCATACTCGTCCCAAGTATTGTCTCACAGTTCTCCAAGTCATTATCACAAAAACAATTTTAACACATACAAATGTGTCCAAACAATCATATAATTTTCCCTAGACTCTACTAGGACTTCTTCCATGCGTATCTTCAGTCATCAATTCTGCGTCAACTCGGTTGGTGTTTGGAAATGCCATACGATGGGACAACTTCAAGAATTACACTAATCGTTCCATCATCCGGCCAATCGAAGGTGTACTTCAGACGTACCATACCCTTCTGAATGTACTGTTATCTTATCATACATATTCTTAAGGCAAGATACCACTCTTACGATATCTTCTGATAGGTGTCATTCACTATCATAAGCCTTTTCATTTCCTCCATTTACTCGATTCTCTATGAGTCTTCACCATGATGCTTTGTTCACAAAAGCATGCGTTTAGTACATCAAGACGAGAATATAGATAGAGGAGATTTAGACGTGTAATCCTCCTTATTACTCCAAAAAGTTACATGGCAGTTCTAATACCGTAATTAAACGTTTTAGAAATCTGAGCACATAAAATTTCCAGATCCGGTCGACAACAGACCATAGATCCGATCCAACAATAGCATCATTAAGCATATAAGGCATCTTATAACATAAATCATTTAGCACATTAAAGCAATTTAATCATCTTCCCTAAATAGGCTAGTGCTCGTGTCTATTCAGGTGTACTTTCTAAAATATATTAGACACACTCCTCACGATCATCGCTTAGCATTCTAAGTTTAAGTCTAGAAATAAATCCTTATTCCTAGTTCGCTTAAACTAATGCTCTGATACCAAATGTGACATCCCCATTTTCACGGCCAGAAAAGACCGATTTTGTTTATGCTTTATAAAAATCAGAGTACCTCTTTTAATAAAAATGTTGCGGAATTTGTTTCCAGTAAAACATGATAAATATGTTATCCAAGAGTTTCCGAAGAAAAGTATTTTTATTCATTTTAAAACATTTGGGATGTCATCGTGAATACATAAACATAAGCATAAACAGAACTTACATTCATCATCACTAGTGATTTATATCTCCTTAATATCTCAGTGTAATGTGACTTCATATCAACACCTGTGATATAAATAAACTGAGTGGGTCGGGTTGGGAAACCTGGTGAGTACATAGGGTTTTCAACCCACAATAATATAATCATTATGTTTAATCATCAAACAATCAATCAAACCAATTACACATCACCATTATCTTATTTACTCTTAACGATCTACCCTAAGAATCAGCTATTCCTCGTTCATTCATTCCTAAGGATTATCCTAAGGAATAGACACGATATCCATCGTTGCTAATGACACATCTGTCAAGCACAACTGCTAATATTATCACTTAGGCGCAGCTGCCAGAATTGTGACATTCTTTATGGGGCGCATCTGCCGGTATAATCCTTTAGGCGCATCTGCCGGGGTTAAGAGGTTCTCTATTAGGCGCTTCTGCCGGTAGAGTCCTTTAGGCGCATCTACCAGGGTTATCTCGCTTATTGACAGTATCGTTTTCGAGAGTCCACTCACAATACATGTCAATGGGTTTTTTAGAGTACATTGGTGAACACATCGTTCACAACACCTACAGGTTGCGAGCCTGCTAGTGTTCCACTGGACTGTCTAGAATAGTCCGTGG